CCCCCCCCAAACAACAGCAACAACAACAACAACAACAACAACAACAACAACAACAACAACAACAACAACAACAACAACAGCAACAACAACAACAACAACACACACACAATCAAGAAAGCTATAAATATAAAAGCAAAACAAAACAAGAAACAGAAAGCCCAACAAACAGAAAAAAAAATACAAACAAACAGTACACGTATACACAAACACGCTTTAGCACACTCATATACTCAGGTTATTTTTTATTATTCATCACAAGTACACCCACAAAAACACCCAGACAAACAAATAATCTGACGCAAACATTAACCCAAAGACAAACACCGACGCATACAAACACACACACACACACACACACACACACACACACACACACACACACACACACACACATTCATAACTGCCATAATATAGTTCCCTTGACAGTCATTTTGGATCAAAAAACATTGCCAAGATTGTTGCCTTAACACCAGAATACAGTTTTTCTTATTAAGAACAAATTGATCTACGCCAAGGGGTATAGTGATATGACTTTTCTTTAGATTAGGTTAAAGAACTTCGGGTTTACTTTATCTAATTTGAAACCTTTATTCAATCATCCAGGTCTTGGTATCTTTAATTCACAGATCCATGATTGAATTCAACCTTTGTAACATCTTAATTGTTTTGGATTTTTTTTTCATTTTGGAAATTAAAGAGTTTTACAGCATTTGTAACATAAAAAGTCATACAAATGCGGGAGATTAGATGTGTACAGAAGGGTAACAAAGACAAGAAGAAAGAATTGAGATCAGGACGGTAGGTATTTGATAGGGAAGAAGGAACAGATCACACCAGAGCACCGGCTAACCGTCCGCGTTTTAACATGTATTGGTGGAACAGATTTGCAATACGGTGAATAATCTGCGTACTCGGGATAATTTATTGTGTGCTTTCTCATCACAGCTCCAACTGACCGTGTAAATAAGTTTTTCAAGATTGGATCTAACGACAAACTCCGTTTAAAAATAGATGAAAGCGAGTTGTATAAATAGTATCAGCTTCCTGTGAAGCATACACGAATATGTGGGTGGTTGGCGGATGCTCTGGTGTGGTCTGCTCCTTCTTTCCTAGCAAACATCTATCGTCCTTATTTCCCTTTCTTCTTTTTTATGTTTGTTACTCTCTTGTAACACCTCAAATCTTCTGGCGGTCATAATAATATGACCTTTATTATGCAGTTGCGAGCACCGTAAAACCTCTACTGAAACAAAACTATTCTCGAATACATTTCTGGGCACGTTTAGATCTTGTGCGGATGAGCGGTGGACATTGAAAAGTCAACACGGCTTCAGGTACACACAAAATAGGCGTCTGTGGTGTAGTGGTTAGGTGCTTCGTCTTCACGCCCAGAAGACTTGAGCTCTATTCCAAAGTGGGCAAGTCTATTTTATCTTGTATCACCATCTTTCTGCTGGCGTTTTGCCTTGACAAACAAAGTCAACACACGTCCGGGTGCACACACTCACACACACACAGACACACACACACACACACACACAT